TATCACAATGGCTGTGTTGTGCCAGGAATTATTCTAGGTCGTAACAAGAAATGTCCAGGTCACTCAAAAGTCTTCATTTATCTTTGAGCAGTGGTAAGTGCTATATAAGAGAAAAGAAAACAGGGATAAAAGAAACTGGTTTATACAGAAAAGTTAAGGCAGGCCTGAAGATACTCGTGAACAAAGAAGGCTACAAAGCCAAAGTGCTCAATGCAACAAACGAGAATGAAGCCCTGTGATGGAGTAAACCTCACCACTTCCTGCTGAGGGTACAGCAAAGCAACAGGGATGCAGGGGATGAGCTCAGACAGGAAAGTCAGGATTGTGTTGTGTGGAGAGCCTTCATAGAGTTCTTAGCAGGCAGGTAGCACCATCTGTATCTTAAAAAGATAACACAGGCTTAGAAATAGGCTAATACAAGCCAGGTGTGGTGATGCAGCACTTGGTAGGCCAAGCAGGAGGACTGACAAAATTCAAGGCCAGTCTAAACTACATAGTGAGACTCTTATCTTTAAAAAACCTTTTTTTACGGGCCGGGGAGATGGCTCAGTGGAATAAGTGTTTCCGTGGCAAGTGCAAGGGCCTGAGTTCAATTCCCAGTTCCAGAAAAAAAAAAAAAAAAAAGTTTTATAAAAATAAGGCTAAGGGGCCAGGAGATAGCTCAGTGGCACAAGTGTCTGCCTGGCAAACGCAAGGTCCTGAGTTCAATCCCTGGTACCAGAAAAAAATAATAAAGGCTAATATAAGGGGGACATGCTACTTGGGAGGCTGAGGCAGGAGGATCTTAAGTTTCAAGACAGCCTAAGGCACTTCCTGAGATCCTGTCTCAAAATAAAACAGGCTGGGATGTAGCTTGGAAGTAGTAGTACTACGTTCAATTATTCAGTTGTTAAGGTATTTGTACATACCTCCTTGTCATTTCCCAATAACAAGACGGGAAAGTCATACTGATCAAGATTCAAGTTCTGTCTTTTGCCAGTTCAAGACCTTAGGGAAGTCATCTGATCAGTTACTAGACTGTAAAACATACTGTCTAGTACACACACAAAAAAGTATTTTTAATCACAAAATTTCTGCAAGGATCAAATGACTAAAAAATCTGCAAATGTAAAGAAGGACCATTCTGTAACATGATCACCATATCAATGTTTGTTCAAATCAAGCCATCTTAATACTTCCATTCATTAAGAATAGCAATACTGACATACAATCAACACTAAACAGTCAGCAAAAAACAATTCCATAAAAGAATGCTTCCGTCACACCTCAAGACAATATGGCTACCTTCCAACCACCATTCTATTCCACACAAAATCTTGTGTAATGGGGCAGTGATAACTTTTTAAAATAAATTCTGAGATTTTAAAAAAATAAGCTGGTCATGATGGTACTATTTTGGGAGGCTGAGACAGGAGGACTGCAAGTTCATTAAGCCCAGTCTGGGCAAACTGGCAATAAGGCCTCATCTCAAGAATTTAAAAAAAAAAAAAAAAGGGGGGGGGAGACAGAGACAGAAATAGAATTTAATTTCTGAGAAATAGAATTTAATTTAAACTGTGAGGGCTTAGTCTCCAGTATACCCCATGCACACACAAAAAAATTTCAAATGAGTATCTAGGTCAACATAGACTTGCCCAGCACACAAAAAAGTCCTGAGTTCAAATCCCATACCACCAAAAAAAGTATTTTCACTAATTATACAACAGCCTATATACTACAAGGGCACTAAAAAATGTCAGCCTTTTAATCCTTCCTAGGGACTGGATAAAAGTGTCTTACAATTATCAAGCACAGAGGGCCAGGGAGATAGCTCAGGAGAATAAACGCTTGTCTGGCAACACAAGGGCCTGAGTTCAATCCCTGGTTCTGAAGAAAAAAAAAAAAAAAAAAAATTATCAAGCACATTAAACTAACAAGTCACTAAATTTTAACTTTTCCCAAATAAAATACAGGTACATATTTTAGAGATGTCATCAATAGATTAAGATTACTGAGCAGTGTAAATTAATCACTCTTACATAGTTAATACTTAACTGTAAATTTAATTGAGTGATAAGGTCTTCTACTTATTGCAGCAAATCGTTTCTATAAATTTTACGAAAAGATTTCACAATTTATTGTACCATCCAAGGCTTTCCTATTACTGTGGAATAGCTTCCAAATCAAAAATGGGTAAATAACTAGTTAGTCCACAGCCATGTAAGAAAGCTTCACTGTCAGTTTGTTATTGAAGTAACTCTGTAACCTTAATAATAAACAGCGACCAAAAAATAAATAAATAAATAAATAAAAATAAACAGCGACACGGTATTTTTGACTGGTTTCTCAAAAACACAATCACTGGTGACCACAGGACTGCATCCTAACTAAAACTACACTGTGAGGACCTTCCCGTGTATACGACAGTTAAACCTCTTCGCACAGGATCTGACATAAATGTATATAATACAATTATTGGGCTTTGGTGCTCAATGACTGTTCTTTTTTCTTTCTTGAACTCAGGACCTTGGCCTTGCCAGGCCGTTGTTCATGCCGTTGAGCTATCTCCCCGGGTGTTCTTTCATTTCTAATTTCTACTTCATAAATACCTTCCGGTCAGTAACCACCCACCCCCAAATCTCAGCCAAACTTGTGACTGCATGAAGCACGACATATCTCAATAACGCATCTCTCTCAAAATGCTGAAAGAATTAAGTACACGTTTATCAGGCTATACCGCACCAGGTATAATTCCAATTTAGTCACTTCGCCTGGAATACCGAGCGGTGCAGATGGGCAACTAATTTCTTTGATAAAAAGTGACCCTCCTCAAAAAAAACAAAACTTAAAAAGTTTTCGTGGGTTGCAAAAAAGACTTGAGCAAGTCTGAGGATTCATCGCTGTTATGTAAAGACTTTACAAGACCAAGGTAGGGATTATTTTAACGGCTCCCCACGTATCTGTCACAGTTATAAAGCCAAAGGACGATTTAATGTAACAGTTAAAGCGCACACATCGAGAGGCAAAAGATGTCACAGGATCCCCCATCACCGCGGTCCTCGAAACCTGTTAAAACTATTTCCTCGGAACAGAAACGGCCTGAAAGAGTTAGCCTACCGGAGTGAAATCCCTTCGCGGCGATAATGAGCGGAAATGCATTCGGAGAGGAGGTCGCGGAAGCGAGGACAGCGGGACGCGCGACCCCCAAGTCCCGGAGCCGGCGGCGAGGG